ATTCATTCATAAAAACATAGGGGTTGATTTCCTAAACGCAAATAGGCTGTTCACTTTGCAAGGGAATTTGCACTTAGTTTAGTGAATGAGCGGAAGCTCTGCTGACTTAATTACCCAATCATGTTCCAGAAAAAGTGCTTTTTTTCCCACTTGCACATGATTGGGTATTCTTTACAAAATTAAGTTTCACAACATTCACTGAGCTAAGGGAAACTTCCCCTGCAAAGTGCAAATCCCCTTTAGTTAATTTATTCTTTATATATAATTTTTATGTAATATTACATGGCAGTCTGTTATCACGCACACAAAATACAACTGTATAGCAAGGAAAAAAAAAAAATGTAAGGTAGTGTACAGAGACAGCTCGCATTCTGAGTCCGGTGACATTTATGGACAATACGCCCTTACATCCAGAATCTGACTGTAATTATAACAGTATATGCAAGCACTGCATGCAGATCTGAAACATGAGCCCTAGCAAAGCCCACCAGAGATGAATCACAAGTCCCTCATCTGTTAAATCAGACGCACGCAGATTGAATTAAAAATAGAACAAATGCATGAAAAAAAAAAAAAGTGTATAAAAAGACTTGTTTACCAAGTTATTCCACATTCAAAAGGTAAAATATAGGCTGATATGAAAGGAAAAAAAAAGACAACACACTGTAGCACAATTAACTATACAAACTGTGTGTCCCCAATTGCACACATGCACATTTATTAAGTGTTACAAACTACAATTGGGAAGGGGGGGCTCACGGAGCCAGGCTCTGCTTTGAGATTTACATGCAGGACTCTTCAGAGTCAATAATATTCATTTTAGAGATCTTCAGGATAGAAGCACTTGCAAATCTATGCACTTTGTTCAACACACATGAAAGCTATATATGTTTTAAGAACTTAGTGTGTAACAGAAAAAGTACCCAAGAAGCCATTGACTGAATACATTAGCTTTGGTGGACCAAGAGGACACTGAACTGCAACGGCAGCAATGGTTACAACTGTTACGATAATCCTTAGTGTGTAACTTAAAAGAAGGAGGCACATGCCTTAAGGCCAAAAGTAACATGTAGTTAAAAACAGAAAAAAAAAAGCTACAAAATCTGAGTTTCTAAGAGTGTAACAGTTCAGCAGTCACATGCATTACCAGGACACAAATGGTTAACTTTAGAAGTGCATCAGAGAGGAAAAGGAGAAAACAAATCTTGAAGACCATCTGATCCCTCTAAAACATTACCCAGTTCTAGTATAAAAGGGTAGATGTCATTTCTTCACATGTTCTCCATTATGTATGTGCAATATATACATACAGGCAGTTACCCCTTCAAGCCATGGCTCTGAGACTGGCTAATGTTAGCAAATTTGTATATGCTGTAGACCTTGTTATTTCTAAGTTTTAGCTTGTAGCTTACCTCTGTACTGAAATAAATGTTGGCACACGTCTATTTAGTGTCTAAACCCATAAAAGTTATGGCTGCTCATCTTCACAATCCCCAAAGCAATACGGTTGAGCTACACAAGTGTTTTCAGATGCAGTACTGCAGGATGAACTGCTACAACTCATACGAGTCTGTAAGCTTTCAGTAGTGGACAATTGCTTTGTTGGCCACAATCTACTGTAGCTCAGGTTTAACTATAGCCTACAGACTACATAGCATTGCATCTAGCAAATGGTTGTAGACAATTTGCGATTTGCCGTAGGGCGACTGAAGCATCGTTTGTGTTGCCAAAACTTGAGGTGAAGAAAGATGTATATATATATATATATATAATACACACACACAATGCGTATAAACTAACAGCATTGGGGAATGTGAAAATAAAGTGATTTGGCAATGTGTAACATTTTCAGTTCAGCATATGCAATAATACAAAAAAAATAAAAAATCCTGCTTATACCATTGAGAAAATACAATGCTGAGGACATAATGCTGTATATCAATATTATGGATGCTCTCCCAGCATCTGCTATCCCCACCTGCACAGTCAAAACCACTGTGGATTTAACTGTCATCCTGGACTCCATGCTGTAAAAGGCATCGATATTCTTTCCTGATTTGGAAGAGTTTTCTTTCCAACACAGAAACAAGGGGAAAAGTTTTTTTTCTTGCTTTTGAAAGTAAACCAATTGTGCCATTTATGTATTTCACCATATGAAGAAGTGGGTAAAAAAAATAAAATGAAGATTCAAGCTGTACCATATGATGTGGAGACTGATCGCATGATAAAAATACTTCTCTCAGCTGGTCGTTTTATTGTGAAAAGTATTTTATCATATTGGACTTCAAAAACAAGTTACAAGCTTGACTTAGCACTTTATTAAATACACTTTGACAGTGTTTCATACACAAAAAAAAAAAAAAAAAAACTAACTGAAAATGGGCAGAACTATGGGGGAGAAAAAAAATGGCGAAGGAACAACATGTGAAGCGTTACCACTACACAGTTTACACAATGTAAGACAGAAATAACACTGTAAAAGTACTTTTAGCACATCATTTTGCTTAATACAGAATTGCCCCACAACCTACGACATCATGTCTAAAGTCCAACCCAAGAGGAAAAATTAAACAAACAAAAAGCCATGTCTATGCTTTCATGTAGGTGGTGACATGATGGACATTGATCTTTAGAACAATCTACTGCCAAAGAACATCCAATATGCGTGTTACGTCTGATGCTTTACAAAGTATAATGAAATGGTATCAAGAGGCACACAGCAAGACTTCACAGTGCAATGTTTGGCTAGATCTTAGCACAAAAGTATAATTCACCCTTAGTGCCTTCAACAGGGATGCTGGAAGCTAAAATACGGGACAGATACCTACTGTGGTGGAGTTTGATATACCAAACAGGGCCTTGTAGGTAAGGAATGAGTGCTTAATGAAATTGAATCATCTTGTTAATCATAAGCATTCACATGGCTCTTCCATTCTTCTTTTGCCTTCGTACACCTACTGCTTTACGGTTCAGGTTTTTGTTTTCCAAAAGCAATGTTCCCAGTCTCAAACAGGTCAGTTGCAAAAAGTGGTTTATTCCTTTGTAAGGAAGAATGAAACAAAACGTTATTCACAAAAATGCTTTCTCTCCCTCTTTTCTTACTCCAATAAGCGATTGTGAGTTCGCAGGAATATCTGAGCTTTTCTGTAATTAGAAAGCGGGATTTATTTTCTCTACAAATTGTACAACTGATAGATCCATTAGCTTGGCAAAAGTCCAGAATGTCACTTAGGATGTCTTCACCAAGTCATAGACATAAATATGGAAATCGTCATCAAACTTAATGAAGTAAACAGAGGGTTTGGCTTCAACTTGATGAATTACCATGCCAGTCCTTTTTGATCCATCTTCTTTGGCGTATTCAACCTGTTTCCCTACTAGGCTGTCCACAACCTCGCCCGGCTCCCTCTCGGCTGGAGGAGAATCATCTATGGAATTATTACAAAAGAAAAAAAGTTACATCACATGGAAAAACCCAAACTGAAATGATTTTGTTTTGCAAACAAGAAAAAAAACACTAATACCTACGGATTAGATAAATGCCAACTCACAGACCTACAAAGATGCAGATCAATACAATAGCCTACTCCTCCTCAAAAAGGTGCAGGGATGCACTGGAGGCCCAGCAACCAAAAATGCACTCTGAGACCCCCAGTGCGCCCCACGTTCCGAAATACAGACATTCCTCGTTTTCCGACTTACCTGCTTTGCGACCACTCGCACTTACGACGGACCGCCGATCGACCTCCGACCTTGCGCGTCAGCGCTACGTGTCGCCGGCGGAAGTGATGTCCTCCGTTCTTCACTGCGGGTCCCGGTAAGTATTTTATTGCCCGATGTACAGTACACTGTTCGGTACTGTACATCTGCAACACTATACAGTACTGTACTAATGCAGTACAGTACTGTATAGAGTTCCTCACTTAACGACGAATTCGTTTAACGACCTGGTCGTAGGAACGGAACTCGGTCGTTAAGTGAGGAATACCTGTAGTCAAACTAGAAAGAAATGGTAACCGCATACATTTATAACTAGCCTTGCATTTAATTTAATCGACTACATTAATATGCTACACCATGGAGACCCGTAGAGTTAGGACCACACTTCATAGATGAGCCTTGACGGGGTGGTGTGGCTTCTACATATTTTTGGCCAAAGTTTTGTGCAACTAAAACCTCTGATTTTAACGCATACTGTTGACAGGGCAACTTGTTTTGTTGCAGGCTAGCTGGCAGGTGTGCTGGGGACTCTTTGTGTTTTGTATTGACTTTTTGATCTGCATCTTTGTATGGGTCTGTGAGTTGGCATTTATCTAATCCATAGGCAGCCTAATATTCTTAGGAAGCCAGCAATGGTAGCCTCAATATTTGCCTCACTACCACTTTGTGAAACTAAAACCTCTGCCTTTAATGCATACTGTTGACAGGGTAACTTGTTTTGTTGCAGGCTGGCAGGTTGAGGCTGGGGGCTTTTTGTGTTTTGTATTATTGTAAGCCTTCCCAATGTGCACCCTACCAAGGATGGCTATAAATTTATGCCCTTACCATTTATTTCTAGATCAAAAAGTCAGACTGGAGCCAGAACTTCTCATCCGCATGCTTGTTCCAGGTCAGTTATTCAAAGGGATGAAACTATTTTAACACCATGATGGCCAGACATCTTTCATTTTCTGGAGGAAAAAAAATCAACCACTGCAGGCTCGGTTTATGGTCTTGTGAAAAAAAAAAAAACTCCTTATGGATATTGTTGAATTTTTCAACATATTTGAACAGGCAAACATTGGCTCTTAATTCAATCAGTGCCTTCAGACAAAAGGTTATATACTTGTACAAAACTCACAAAAGTAACAGCAACATCTATTCCATCTCAATCTATAGTACATTACTTAAAATGAAGATTTGGAGAGAAAAAGTAAACACCTACATTTTCCAACACTTACATTCATGGAATTAGATGCAGTTCTTCCATATGACATGTCAAAGGTTAGAGCCTCCTTAAAGTGACATTAAACCCTCAGATTTTTAACATAAACCAATACTGTAATGTGTGCCTTACTGTAGAGCTGCAGCTAACGATTATTTTCAAAATCGATTAGTTAGCCGATTATTAAGTTCGATCGGTTAAAAATAAAAGAAATGTAAAAAATGGCTCCAGTGATGGACTACTAGTTTGTATTGAGATTGTAGTCCATCACAGGAGCAAGCTTGGAGAGGTGGAAGTAAAAAAGAAAAAAAAAAAAAAAGTAGTCCTCTACAGCTGGTGGTATTCTGCATTGCGCTGTATAATGTATTATTGCTGGGATTTGTAGTCCCCTATACAGCTCAATGCAGAATACCACCTATACTATATAGGAATACAACAAATCCCAGCAATACATTATACATATAGTGTATAATGTATTGCTGGGATTTGTAGTCCTCTATAGCTGATGGTATAATATACAGCACAATGTACCATCAGCTATAGAGGAATACAAATCCCAGCAATACATTATAGAGCACCATGTGTGGGAAAGTGCAGGCTTACCTGAGCAGTCTTCCAGCAACTTGTTTCTGAGATCGGGCCTGTCTATCGGCGGCTGTCATCCCCTCACACCTGCTCCTCCTTACTTCTTCTCCCCGCGTCCCTGTGCCGATCGTGGATGTGCGTGGGCGGTGAGCGTGAAGCAGCGGGGAGGTGCGGCATGTGGAGCGTGGATGCGACCGGGCGGGTATGGCAGCGGCGAGCGTGAGGTGGGGAGGAGGTGTGGCGCGAAGCGTGTGTGGAGCCGTGAACAGGGCCAACCAATCGGAAGCCGATTAATCGATGATTGAAAAAGTTGACAACTTTTTCAATAATCGATGATCGATTATATCGATTAGTTGTTGCAGCCCTACCTTACTGTAATCCATGGTAGTTTCTCTTCTCTTTGCTGCTCTTCCTTTTAAATCCTTATCTCTTCTCATGCTGGGGGAGAACTTCCCTTTGCAGCTGAGTGCCTCTTCCTGTAGTGCTGGCTCAGGTTGTGAACCTGCACACAGACACCATGTATCCATTCCAGAGACAAGGCAGTCTGCTGCAAAACAGAAGTTCTGCCCAGCATGAGAACAGATACAGATTTAAAAGGAAGAGCAGCAAAGAGAAGGGAAACAACCATGGATTACAGTAAGGCACACATTACAGTATTGTTTTATGTTACAAAATCTGAGGGTTTAATGTCACTTTAAAGAAGAACTTTACCCTTATCTTCAAAATAACAAAAAGGCACCTTTTAGAAATGATTAGTGATCGTAATCTACAAACACATACTTCTAGATAAATAAGGTATGCAAAGAATAAAAAGCTTGCACGTTTATTTTCTTGCCCATTCTTCTCACTGTGGCCATTTTTATTGGGACATAATTCTTCTCCCTTTACTTTCTGTATTTCTGGCACATGTGCCTAGGACATGTGGCCATGCACATCTCGGGGGAGGAAAATGCCTTTCCCTGAGATCTCATGAAATTACAGATGAGATTTCCCAGCAATGTTCTGCTGATGTAATCTTCCCAGGAAGCAATGCTTGGGCACAATTACTAATGCCCATAAGGACCAGGAAGTAGAAAAACAGTAATTGTAATAATATGTTTAACTAATAAATGTAAGATGGTTTCATGCTGCATGCTGAGGTGCTTTTTAGTCAATGGGGGTAAAAGCCAGCTTTAAAAGGAGTGTGCAGGTGGACTCTGTCTTCTACCCATCTTAAACCTCAGATATATCAAGGGTTTGGTGTTTTTTGTTTTTTTTTGCTACTCGTATGTGGTGTCATGCCAAGAAAGACATTACACCAACTTAACCTGCATAAGAGTTGAACATTAGAGCAAGCCTTCCGTGTGTCATTGGACATATATTCAAAGACAAGGTCTTTTGTAGCAATGGGCTGTGGACTGATGAATCAAAAATAGACTTGGTCGGTCACACTAATAGTAGACAAGCTTGGCACAAACGGACAGCATTTCAGGAGAACCTCATACCAACTGTGAAGAAAGGTGATGAAAATGTTATGGTTTGAGGTTTCTTTGCAGCTTTGGGGCCTGGGCAGCTTACAGTCATGGAGTCAACTAATAACTCTGCATCATATAAAAAGTATGCTTGATGTGAGGCCATTTGTCTGAACGTGGAACCAGAAATCCATCTTTACACAACAATGATCATAGCTCAATAGCAAATCCATCAAGGAATAGCCCAACAAGAAGAAACTGAGATATATGGCCTACCACATGTCCTAATTTGAATCTCAATGAAATGTTGTTAGGGATCTGAAACTTGCAGTTCATTCAAAAGAAACCCACAAACATTATGTAATTGAAGGAATTTTGCATGGATAACTGGTCAAAAATGTGTTTGTCACATTGGAGGAACAGCTATGCAAAAAAACTACACAAAAAAGTCTTCTAAATTATGCAATACCAGCTTAAGGTCAACGATGTTCTTACTTTTCCCACAGTACTTCATTATATCGATGTAGATAATTGTAGCTAACTGAAAATACACATTTTCCATGTGTTTTTATCCATATACAGTATATTACCTTTATCTGTAGGCACTGTTTAACTGAAGATATAGAGGTCTATAAACCATTCATGCACAGAGCCATACGCCCTGCAAATCTCTGTAAACGTTCATTCTGTGACAATAGAGGCAAAATAAACAACCGCTCGTATATAGAATTTTTTTTTCCAGGTCAAATGCAATGCACATTGCATTATGACCACTAGATGGAGCTGTGGAGCATAGGAAATAAAACATTTTTTCCCGATGCTCCTCAGCTGCAGAACAAGCGTTTAAAGAGATTCACATGGCAAAAGGCTGAAAATGGTTTATAAATTAACCATATAAATGTTTGCCTGTTCAAACATGTTAAAAAAGTCCACAATCTCAATGGGGTTTACATACTTTTTCACGCGAATGTACTTTCACATCAGGATTCCTTTTAAAGCAGAACACCGAGCACACATTTTATTTACCCTTGCAGTGAGGCTAACTCAGAAACCTCCAACAGTTCAAACCATCTTTCCCTCTGCCATGTAAGTTTGGTCACTGATTACAGTATCTCTGTGACCCTTGCTCATCCCTATGCAACTAACCCTTTGCTCTCCAAGCACAGAGACATTTCTAACAGTTCTGCTACACACACCTGAAGTGAAAAGTCAGGCTAAAGCTGCAACATCAGGACAACATCTCTCTTAGTGCAGATTAGACTGAACATTCTTCCCTAAGTCTAATTTGTTTCTACTCTTTCTTCAAGGGAAGATGAATAATCTGTAATTCCTGACAAAGAGAAAACACAGCATGCTAATAAGTGTTTCCCGGGGTCACATGCACATTGAAGCATCCAAATTTCAGTTGAAATTGGATGCAAACAAGTGGTAGAAGTTTGAAGGAATAATCCTCCCGGCATGGTACTATTAAGCTTTAGCCATCACTGTTACTATGAAGCATTCCAAATACCAGAATCAAATCTTTTTGGCAAGGTTTTAATAAAATCATTATGTTGAAGATCTGTCTATACTATTCACCTTGCACTATGGCCACAGAAGTTTTTTTTGATGGTTGTTCTGCCATACAAAATCTATAGAATCTGAATAATACCGATTCGCCTGACTTTTTCAGCCCGATTATCATGAAATTTAGATATCCACAATGATTTCACGAACTGGATAATTTTCTACAAATTGGTCAAAATCAGAAAACATATATTCAGGATAATGGAACACATTTGTTTTTTGAAACCAATTCATTCTTCATTAATATAGAAGGCTCCTCTAATACAAATACCACAAACGTAAAAGAGCCCCATTCCTGTAATAAGAGTAATGCTGAGGCAATAATCATGGGGTGTCTGCTGAAATCTGACAGGCTTTCCAAAATGTCATTACTTACTAGAGTCTGGCATGATGCGAAGATCTCCTTCTTTATAGTCATCTAAAAGCTGATACATGTATAAGACAGGGTCCTTTTCATATGTTATATAAAACCATGTGTTCATGATTGGTGCTCTTGCTAAAACCATCCCTCGCCATTCATCCTTCGAGCCATCTTCTGTTTCAAACATGTGTTCAACAGCTTTACCAATCATTGTGTCAGCCAAATGAGCATCGCTAATTCGGGATGAAGCTAAAAGAGAAGTATGAATACTATTACATATAACATTTACAAGCTAGACGTTTGTTTACAGATATCCCATCCTACCCCCATATCTATGTATGTATGTATAGATATAGATATATCTATATACACACACACACCTGCTACTATTTTTCTGTGGCCTTGCGGCCAAAAAGCCATACGTACAGTGGAAACGTGGGCTAAGCGACTCAATTATGCATGAAAATATAGGAACTGGGGTGCAGAAAAGGAATCAAAATTTGAAATATTTGCCTGTAGCAAGAGGCAAATAGGGATGCACCGATACCAGTTTTCCGATATCGAGCACCGATTTCTTTTTTTTCCAATAGTCGCCGATACCAGAAGTCCCATTAAGGAAGGCAGGAGGCGTGTAAAGACTCGCCACCTGGCTTCCTGATTAGTTGGGAAGCTGGGCAGTGTGTAAAGACTCGCCACCTGGCTTCCCGATTAGCAGGGAAGCCATCACCATGCTTTCTCCTCTCCAGGTAACGAAAAAGCATGGAGTCAGCTTTCTGGCCAATCAGGAAGCCGGGGGCGCTGTGTAATGATGCCAGAAAGCCGGCTTCATGCTCCCTCATCATCTGGTGAGGATCGAGCACGGAGCTGGCTTCCCAGCCAATCAGAAAGCCAGGGGTTGTGCAATAACACGCCGTCTGGCTTCCTGATTGCCCAGCTTCCCGACCAATCAGAAAGCTGGGCAGCGTGTAATGACTCGCCGCCCGGCTTCCTGATACCGGAAGCTCAAAGTATCGGGCTAGGCATCAGAGCATTTAGTATCGGTATATCCCTACTATCAACAGTTTTATTTCTGAAAGCATTCTTACTTTACAGCATTTTTTCACACTTGCCTAAACCTTTTGCACATTGCTGTATCATGAATATGCAGGGAGGGAGAGACAGACACGTTATTATTATATATATATACACACACACACACATTATTGTTTGATAGAAAGTCCGTTCACAAAGCTCTGAAGCCCAAACTAATTTATGAACAATAAGTGACTAATTGACTGAAAATTTGGATTAAGCAGTCTAAGTGTTGATTGACTTTAGAATGACAACTGATATTTTAACCAGTTGACATCCGCGGTGTTAAACCCCCTTCCCATCCAGGCCATTTTTCAGTATTCAGCGCTGCGGTACTTTGACGGCAAGAGGTTAATGCAATGTGTACGTTGTACTATTTAGTTAGAAAGCTCTGCACTAGAAGCATATTTTTATTTAGTTATTTATTGGTTTTTATATAGCGCTGACAATTTATACAGCGCTTTACATAGAGCACAGTCACATCAGTCCCTGCCCTCAAATAAGCTTACAATCTAAGGTCCCTATCTCACATGAATACAAAATTATAT